TGGCACTTCAGGTTCTTTTGTTGCTTTAATTAATTTATTATCAAGAACAATAAAAAATATGTACAAAAGGAATTACTAATGTAAAAAAAATCCTGGCTTTATCCATATATGTTTATTAGAGGTGCAACGATACACACAATTCACGGTTCGGTTCAATACTTTGGTGTCACGGTTCGATATTTTTTCGATACAATTTAATTTCTCATTTATTAAAATTATAAATATATATTTTAACTCAAGTACAGTTTTTAAATTTAATGTTGCTGAAACAACAAAATAATAATAATAAAAAAATCTATCTGATGGAGAAATCACTCATCTTTGGAAAAGAGAGTTTATTACAGAGAAATGGCTCTTTCCAAAATAAAAGCTATACTATACGCTTCTTCTGGGCTATATTCTCAGCAGCATATTAAACATATCAGGTCCCCATAAGGAGAATCCTGTGCTAACGGCTGTCTAAATCAGCGGTCCCCAACCTTTTTTGCGCCACAGACAATGCCCAACAATATTTTCAAAGACCGGCCTTTTAGGTGTCACGGATAAATACAACAAAATAAAACTAGTACCGGTACCGAAAAAAATAAGATTTATTCATAACACACGTGAAAAGACCCAGGAAAACCGAGCTGACGATAAAAACGATAACAAAATAACGCTGAAAACCGATAAAAACCCTGAAAACCAAACATTTCACACCTGAGCCTCAACTCTCGCGACTCACGGACCGGTACGAGTCCGAGGCCCGGGGGTTGGGGACCGCTGGTCTAAATGACTCGGGTAAAGTTTGTAGCATGCTGCTTGTTGTTTTTGTCTGCTTCCACTTGTCTTTGCACGAGGATGATGTCAGAGTAAATGTGCAGTCATATTCGTTGTGTTCCCACTAGTGCTGTCAGCGTTAATCTGAAATGACGTTAACGCCACAACAGGGCAAATCTCCGTTAACGTGCTACCGCGGATCGCCCCGTGCGTGGGGCTGGACGGCGTCAACACGTTAACGAGCTAACGGCGCTAATGCACTAGTTCCCACCCATGTAATTGAGCATTGCGTGGCACATCCGACATACTGTTTTACTTTAGTCCATGACGCGCTTACCTTCAGGGTCATACGTCACATGAAAACCAAAATAGTTCCAAACGCCAGATCTGAATGAGGGTGGGGGAGGTTCAATTTGCCATGTTGCAAGGCGCTTAACTTCTGTCTTGCTAGCTTGCCCTGCGCTCAGTGAATCTGCGTTCGACTACTCCGCCTAGGCTGCACTGTCGAGCGCAGATCCACTGAGCGCTCAACACAGACAGCATCGTCAGAAGGAAAGTTGATAAAATAAATTGTCTGTGAAGGTTCTCAGTCATCCAGGTCATCGTAGTCAAAGGAGCTTGCAAAGAAAAGCGTCTGGACTTCTTTAAGTTGCTTGAAGACGTTTCACCTCTCATCCGAGAAGCTTCTTCAGTTCTAAGGTCAAATGGTGGAGAGTCCCAGATATAACTAGGGATGGGTACCGGTGTCCGGTGCCATCATGGCACCGGTTCTGACATAAACGGTAGTAACCAGACCGAAAAGCAGCACACATTTCGGTGCTTTATTTTCCTGAGCTGTGATACACTTCTAGCCAATCATTTTACGTTTCCGAGGATAGTAGGCGGGGCCAGGTACGTACGTTCTTTTATGCAGAGCTACAGATTAAAAATGCCCAAGGCGAAGCGGTCAAAAGTCTGGCTGTACTTCACAGCAAAAGATGCAAACTCAGCAGCAACAAGTGCTTTAAGCTGATACTGTGATACTGTCAAAGGAGGTAACACCTCAAATCCGATGAAACACCTGGCGACGCATAGCGGTTTTTTTTCCCCAAAAACCAAGAAATGCACTGTATTTGATAGCTTGCTGCGAGACCTCACACCGAGCGCATCTACTGCGGTGTGGTGCCTGTTATCGGACCCGGAGTTAGCAACATACCCAAAAACACGAAGAGGAGAGTCCTGGCCCCTAGCCCTGCCAGTGTAGCAGAAATGATGACGGATGATGATGCAGCAGCAGCAGCCGTTCTTCTCTGCGTGAGTAATTTACGTTGAGTAGGCTAACCACGTTATTAAATTAATGCATGTAAGGTGAACTAGCAAACATCATCATAGCTACATGCGGCTGTCTTCTTGTTTGATGGCAGATACTCCCTTCACCCTGGCCAAAAAGGCTAAAATGACCAAAGAAAAAGAGGGAAACAGCTGAACATGAGCGGTTTTTGGACAAAGTTTGTGTTTTTTCCATTGTTTATGCACTGCTTCCAGCCAAGAGTGATACCATATATGCCCTATAGCTGCAGAAAAGGCTAACATTATCTTTTTACAAAAACCAAATCAAATCACTTTTATTGTCACATCACATGTGCAGGTACATTGGTACAGCACATGTGAGTGAAATTCTTGTGTGCGAGCTTCACAAGCAACAGAGTTGTGCAAAATACAATAATGTAAACAAGCAAAATACAAGAATGGCTACATCTGAAACTAATAAATATATGTACAATATATAATAGTATATGCATTTCTGGATGTGTATAGTAAATATTTTCCTACGTGTGTGTGTGTGTGTGTACACATATTTTACAAATTAAATAGAGTAAACAATAAATAAAATATATAAAATATACAGAGTTGAGACATGTGCAAAACAGTGGCATTACTGTACAGTATGGAGTGCATAATGTTAAAGTTCCAGTAGTGAAGCTGAGGTGTCTATGACGTGTTCAGCAGTCTGATGGCCTGGTGAACCAGCTGAACATGAGAGGTTTTTGGACCAATTTTGTGTTCTCCATTCTTTAAGCACCGGTTTGAGCACCGTTTAAGCACCGGCACCGTTTCAAAAGTACCGATTTGGCACCGGTATTGGATAAAACCTAAACGATACCCATCCCTAGATATAACCTAGTGGGAGTGACCCTCCACAGAGTATGTGTGGTGTACAATTACATCAAGTACACCAAGTGATGCAGTGAAGATAAACACTAACCGGCCAGCCAGTCACAGTCTGCTGATACTGCCTTCATGAACTAAACAAGCCGTCACTGTAAATCATCCAAGGACAATAGTTGCAGTCAGAATAATTGATACTCATCTATATATGAATATCTACTGACTCATTGACCTTCAAATATTTCAAACAGGTCTGCTGGCTGAGAGACAATAAATGATGTGTTTTATCTTTCATTTGCTCCTGTTGATCCTGAAATGACCAAAGATGCCAGGAACTTTAGCTAAAGTAGACCCTGAGCACATCACTGCAGGTAAACAACAACGACTCAGAGTGCAGACAGTGGACTCTGGACTTTGTGGACTGGTGTCAGCAGAACCACCTGCTGATCAACGCCGGGAAAACCAAGGAGTTGGTGGTGGACTTCCGGAGACGCAGACCCACCACACTGACAGCGGTGAACATCCAGGGAGTGGACATTGAGATAGTGGACTCTTATAGGTACCTGGGTGTTCACCTGAATAATAAACTGGACTGGAGCCACAACACTGATGCTCTTTACAGGAAGGGTCAGAGCAGACGCTACCTGCTGAGGCGGCTGAGGTCATTTGGAGCACAGGGAGCGCTTTTAAAGACCTTCTATGACTCTGTGGTGGCATCTGTCATTTTTTACAGTGTTGTATGTTGGAGCAGCAGTTTATCGGCAGCTGAGAGGAAGAGGCTGGATAAACTCATCAGGAAGGCCAGCTGTGTTCTGGGATGCACCCTGAACCCAGTGCAGGTGGTGGGAGACAGAAGGACTCTAGCCAAAATAACATCTCTGATGGACAGAGTCTCCCAGCCCATGCATGTAAATGTTGCTGAACTGCAGAGCTGCTTCAGTGACAGACTGCTGCATCCTCGATGCATGAAGGAGCGTTTCTGCAGGTCCTTCCTCCCTGCAGCTGTCAGACTGCACAATCAGAACTGCTCCCAACAAACACAGATGTTTACATCTGCGCTGTAACTGCAATAATTTAATCAACCAATTCGCACTACAACCTGGTTTGCCTCTTATCTGTAGCCTCCGGCAGAACCTCTTATCTGTAGTCCTTAATGTAAATATGTAAGAAAAATTGTGTATGTTTCTGTTCTGTGTCCTGTGTACTGTTTGTTTGTATATGTGTCTTTCTGGCTGGTGTTACAACCAAATTTCCGCTTGTGGGACAATTAAAGGATTAATCTATTCTATTCTAAACAGCAGAGCCAGTTATACAAAAAATAGTTTAATATCATTGACAAAGACACTGATATGCAGTTAACGCACCCACATTTTACACAGACTTTCAAGCGCAGTCAGAAATATCACATGAAGGAAATTGCCGTCCCGGGTTTCCTCCGTGGCGTGAGCGATAAGCAGAGTTCTGTCCTTTCCTTCTAAGATTCCTAATTATTTAAAGTAACACTCAGGTATGCCGTTCAGCTGGGTTAGTTACGACGTCGGGAGCAGCTTGGGAGAACAAGGAAACACAGACTGCTTCAGGTTGTCTTCCCAAATCGACTCAAAGGTTTATTTAATACATAACAGCTTATATAGAGGAAAAAAAGGTTCGTGTGTCAGCTTTCCCAGTTCAAACCGGTACAGACTAAATAAGGAAACGTCTTCCTGCCTTCTGAGCAAAGTATCCCTTGTGTAGTTTATCAGTTCAGCTATAATTTATGATCATCCCAGCAAAATACACTCCTAGACATAAAATACAGAGTTCTTTCATTAGTGAATTCTGAAACAAACCACCTAGCCTTTAACGAGCCTTTTCCAGGAGATAAAGAAAAAGGGAGGATGGGAGTAAGGAAGTGGTCTCATCTCTGTGGTGTTTTCGACCTTGGGGGACCAGCTTGTGAGTCTTACACATTAATTCTTGGGTCAGAGAGAAAGAGAAAAACAACTAGTAGATGGGCCTTATTGAGCAACTCTTTTCCTGTATAAAACAATAAAACAATATCCTGTAAATGCTACTATGGTATCAAAATATCACAACATCACAAATATACAAAAACAGCCTGTAAAAGTACACGAGACACCAAACAGTTTCACAGAAGAGCCGACCGCACCTAAAGGCAACCGGGATGGTTTTACTAACAGCTTTCTCAAAGGAGATTTTATGGGGGTCCTTGAAGGCAGCACAAAGACACGACTGCTGCCATATTAAAGGAGCAGTCCCCTCATTTTGATTCCAGCCCTTTAAAGGAAAACACCAATCTGTTTCCAATCAATCCATGGCTAAGAGATGTACACATATACACACAGATCAATAACCAATCATCTATAATCAATCGTCTGTGCTTGCTGTCAGCTGGAAACCTCACATCTCCGTCTACAATATGAACGTAAACACATTACGAGGTTTTCACATGACAGCAGACTCACACTGGCAGTGTGTTGGTCCAGTTAGAACTGGTTTGTTTTGGCCTAGTCCAGTTTGGTCTGGTCTGGTTTATTTTTTCAGACGCTGAGAGTCTCTCAGTGAGTCTCAGTCCAAGAAGTGACCCAGTGTTTCGGGGACTTCCTGTTTCGACATGAGGAGACTTGGTCCTGGATCAGGAATCCGTCAGCATCCATGTGCTGCTGTTGTAGGTCGTCTTTACCCATAATCCTCCCCTGATGGAGCGCCACCGCCCGCCACACCCCCTGACGCAGAAAGAACCCACACTGCAGAGAAAAAGAGGGATCAGAGACCTTGTATGTCCACAGAGACACGGAGGCAGTGAATAGGTGACACAGGTGAGTTTGCTGGGATAACCAGTGATCTGCTGAAAGGCAGATTCATACTGGTCCTATTTTGGGGTGATTTCCCATAATTCCTTGCATTGACAGCAAACTGAATATTTTTTGGTTTAAGGAGTCTGTCGGGATTTGTGTGTGTGAAATTTGATTTGATTGGCTGCAAAAATCTAGCAGGTGTGGCCACAGACACATTAAAGGGTGAGCCCGCTTAATTTTTTTCTGCCGTTTTCTGTTAATGTGTCTTTTGTGACTCCTTTCAGAATAAAAGCTCCATCAAATCTGCAGAGAAAAGCCAACAAACACAAGCAATCACATTTTTTGCTGAGCTGATCAATCAGAAAAAGTAGAGCAGATGGAAACAGGAGGTTACTGAAAATCAAATGGTCCCTGAGATTATGGATGAAACAGGTTTTATTATGGGAGATGAATTTGTGGGGATGCCGTTATTAGTAAAAACCTAGAATTGATCAAATTTAAGACAAAATTTCAAAGAACCTCAAAGTATCAGTGCTGACTACTTTAAGCAAGTACAAACTTTTTAACTTTGATCTGACTCAGCACTTTTCATAGTCTCAGTAATCAGTTAGTAACCCTTCCACCTCTGGTCCTTACAGCCGGGCTCTCTGGCTGCGGTGCCCCAGCCTCAGAGCTCCTCGGTCAGCCTGTCGTTCTCAGATGGCTGGCTCTTCATCTGGGCCTTCTGGGTCTTTGCCTGGTACAGCTCCCTGGTGCTGGCTCTCCTGAAGAACCCACACTGAACAGCAGGGGGCGACACACAACACTTTACAGAGATAAAGCTCACGATACAGATGAATGATGAATGGTGATGAGTGGTGATGAGTTGATGCTGCTCTGGAACCTAAAACTGGAACCAGTCTGGCAGTGCAGCAGAACTGGAGCTATCTTTCAGAAGCACTCTTGAGTTTTCAGAGATGGTTTGTAAATCCAGCTCAGGAACAATGATTTCACTGGAATCATTTAAGACTTTTTCTCCCAGTTTCTATGCCAAATGAATAATTTAAAGACTTCCTCTGATCAAAATCATCTTTCAGTTTACACACAAAACACCAGGCAGCTGAAAGTAAGCTGTTATTATAACAATATATGAGTACTGTGGAGACGGGGGATAATATCCACTTGTAAAAAGTTTCCCTGGACTATGACTTTATCTGCTGCATCATTTCTGTATGTTAACACCCGGGTTACCTTCCAGAGCAGCAGACAGATGAGAGCCAGCAGCAGGACACCTGCCAGGGCAGACAACATGATGATCCATAGGGGGGCGCCAGAGTCCACCTGTAGCCCCAGATCTGGATAGATGTAGACCTCAATCTGCAGAGAATACCTCAGAGATTCAGCAGGAAACTACAGCCACATACAGTGAACTGTGAAGGAGGGTGCAATGGTCCTTAGGGGGCACTGGCTGCAATCTGTTACCTGCGAGCTGTGAGACTCCATGTTCACGGTGGGTTTGTTGGTCTGCAGCTTCAGAGATGCCTGACCTTGAACCAAGACACTGCTCGCATCGCTGTAGTCCTGAAACACAACAAGAAGCGATAACTGGCCATGAGAGGATGAAAAAGACAAAAAGTCCTGATATCTGAGCACAGGTGTCTGCAGGTTTGGGGACAGAAATGCTTTCTGAGCTCACAGGATGACATTTTTTGCATTTCAGAGGTCTTAAGAGTTTTCATGCAGTATTTAAATGATAACGAGGGTTAATTTCGACAACACTTTAACACACAGACAAAAAAAAAATCAACTTTAAAAAATATAGAGCAAAAGAAACCAAAAATAGAAACTATCAATCTAAATAAAATGTAACAAATAGAATAAAAACCACTTGTCTCTGTAGTTGTGATGCAGACGGTTTAGTCTCTTTAAGCTGTAGTTTTGAATTCTTCTGGTCTCCATCAGAGATGGGCAGTAACAATTCAAGTCAATTCAATTTTATTTATATAGCGCCAAATCACAACAAAAGTCGCCTCAAGGCGCTTCATAGATACAGAGAAAAACCCAACAATCATATGACCCCCTATGAGCAGCACTTTGGCGACAGTGGGAAGGAAAAACTCCCTTTTAACAGGAAGAAACCTCCGGCAGAACCAGGCTCAGGGAGGGGCGGGGCCATTTGCTGTGATTGGTTGGGGTGAGAGAAGGAAGACAGGATAAAGACATGCTGTGGAAGAGAGACAGAGGTTAATAACAGATATGATTCAATGCAGAGAGGTCTGTTAACACATAGTGAGTGAGAAAGGTGACTGGAAAGGAAAAACTCAATGCATCATGGGAATCCCCCGGCAGCCTACGTCTATTGCAGCATAACTAAGGGAGGATTCAGGATCACCTGGTCCAGCACTAACTATATGCTTTAGCAAAAAGGAAAGTTTGAAGCCTAATCTTGAAAGTAGAGATAGTGTCTGTCTCCTGAATCCAAACTGGAAGCTGGTTCCACAGAAGAGGGGCCTGAAAACTGAAGGCTCTGCCTCCCATTCTACTTTTAAATACTCTAGGAGCAACAAGTAGGCCTGCAGAGCAAGAGCGAAGTGCTCTAATAGGGTGATATGGTACTACAAGGTCATTAAGATATAATGTGGCCTGATTATTTAAGACCTTGTATGTGAGGAGCAGGATTTTGAATTCAATTCTGGATTTAACAGGAAGCCAAAACAGGAGAAATCTGCTCTCTCTTTCTAGTCCCTGTCAGGACTCTTGCTGCAGCATTTTGGATTAGTTGAAGGCTTTTCAGCGAGTTTTTTGGACATCCTGATAATCATGAGTTACAGTCGTCCAGCCTGGAAGTAATAAATGCATGAACTAGTTTTTCAGCGTCACTCTGAGACAGGATATTTCTAACTTTAGAGATGTTGCACAAATGGAAGAAAGCAGTCTTACATATTTGTTTAATATGTGCATTGAAGGACATGTCCTGGTCAAAAATGACTCCAAGGTTCCTCACAGCGTTACTGGAGGCCAAGGTAATGCCATCCAGAGTAAGAATCTGGTTAGATACCATATTTCTAAGATTTTCAGGGCCGAGTACAATAACCTCAGTTTGATCTGAATTAAGAAGCAGAAAGTTAGCGGCCATCCAGGTCTTTATGTCTTTAAGACATTCCTGCAGTTTAACTCATTGGTGTGTGTTATCTGGCTTCATGGACAGATAGAGCTGGGTGTCATCTGCATAGCAGTGTAAATGTATGCTATGTCTTCTAATGATGCTGCCTAAGGGAAGCATGTATAATGTAAACAGAATTGGTCCTAGCACTGAACCCTGTGGAACTCCATAATTAACCTCAGTGTGTGAAGAGGACTCTCCATTTACATGCACAAACTGGAGTCTATTAGATAGATATGATACAAACCACTGCAGTGCAGTACCTGTAATACCTACAGCATGTTCTAATCGCTCTAATAGGATATTATGGTCGACAGTATCGAACGCTGCACTGAGGTCTAGCAGGACAAGCACAGAGATTAGTCCACCGTCAGAGGCCATAAGAAGATCATTTGTAACCTTCACTAAAGCTGTTTCTGTGCTGTGATGAGCTCTGAAACCTGACTGAAACTCTTCAAATAAACCTCTGCAGATGATCTGTTAGCTGTTTGACAACTACTCTTTCAAGGATGTTTGATATAAAGGAAGGTTGGAGATTGGCCTATAATTAGCTAAGACTGCTGGGTCTAGAGATGCTTTTTGAGTAAAGGTTTAACTACAGCCAGCTTGAAGGCCTGTGGTACATAGCCGATCATTAGAGATAGGTTGATCATATTTAATCGGAAGGTTGCCGGTTCGAGCCCTGGCTTGGACAGTCTCGGTTGTTGTGTCCTTGGGCAAGACACTTCACCCGTTGCCTACTGGTGGTGGTCAGAGGGCCCGGTGGCGCCAGTGTCCGGCAGCCTCGCCTCTGTCAGTGCGCCCCAGGGTGGCTGTGGCTACAATGTAGCTGCCATCACCAGTGTGTGAATGTGTGTGTGAATGGGTGGATGACTGGATATGTAAAGCGCTTTGGGGTCCTTAGGGACTAGTAAAAGCGCTATATAAATACAGGCCATTTACCATTTAAGACTGAAGCATTAATTAATGGCAGGACTTCTTTGAGTGGTTTTGTAGGAATGGGTTCTAAAGTTAACTCAGAAAGATCAATTGGAGAAAAAGAGTCTAACTTAACATCAATGGTACTAAGAGTAGCTGTAGATAATATTACATCTGTGGGATGATTATTGGTCATTTTTTCTCTAATGATAAAAATGTTATTTGTGAAGAAGTTCATGAAGTCATTACTAGTTAACGTTAAAGGGATGGTTGGCTCAACAGAGCTCTGACTGTTTGTCAGCCTGGCTACAGAGCTGAAGAGAAACCTGGGGTTGTTCTTATTTTCTTCAATCAGTGATGAATAGTAAGATGTTCTGGCTTTGCCGAAGGGCTTTCTTATAAAGCAGCAAACTATTTCTCCAGGCTAAATGATGATCCTCTAAATTTGTGACACGCCATTTCCTCTCCAGCTTACGAGTCATCTGCTTTAGGCTACGTGTTTGAGAATTATACCACGGAGTCAGGTACTTCTGATTAGAGACCTTAGTTTTCACTGGAGCTACAGTATCCAGAGTCGTACGTAGTGAGGAGGTGAAATTATTAACAATATGATCGACCTCTGTTGGGGTAGCGTTCAGATAGCTGCTCTATGTTGGTACAGTGCATTGAAGATGATAACAGTGGGTGGATTATATTCTTAAACTTAGTTACAGCGCTTTCAGAAAGACATCTACTTTGATAAAGTCTACTCTCCACCGCTGTGTAATCAATTATTGTAAATGTAAATGTTATCAGGAAATGATCAGACAGGAGAGGGTTTTCAGGAAACACTGTTAAATGTTCAGTTTCTATGCCATATGTTAAAACAAGATCTAGAGTGTGATTAAAGTGGTGGGTGGGTTCTTTTACATTTTGAGAGAAGCCAATTGAGTCTAATAACAGATTAAATGCCATGTTGAGGCTGTCATTTTCAGCATCTACATGGATGTTAAAATCACCTACAATAATTATTTTATCTGAGCTCAGAACTAAACCAGATAAAAAGTCTGAGAAATCAGACAGAAACTCTGTGTAAGGCCCAGGTGGACGATAGATGATAACAAGTAAGACTGGTTTCTGAGTTTCACAGCTGGGGTGGACGAGGCTGAGCATCAGGCTTTCAAATGAATTAAAAGTCTGTCTGGGTCTTTGGTTGATTAATAGGCTGGTGTAAAAAATTGCTGCCACACCTCCCCCTCGGCCTGTGCTTCGAGGTTTCTGGTAGTTAGAATGACTCGGGGGGGGGGGATGTGGGGGATGTGATGGAATGTGCAGAAAATAGGTTTAAATGTTAAACAAATTTCTTCCAGTCAGAGAATGTTGCATATAATTAAATCTTTGCTTGATGTATAAAGTTAAAAGATTAAAACTAATAAAACAAGTTTTAAAAAGAGACATTTGATTACATTTTGTATGATGGATTATGCAGAAAAAGTAGAATTGGGCTGAAAGATCTATCACTTTATCACCTATTCAGGTTGTAAATCATGTTTTTAAAAAGTAACTAAGTGATTAATTACTTTTGAAAATAAGTAATCAGTAAACTAATGGGATTGCTTTTTTGGGGAAGTAATCAGTAATTAGTTACTGATTACTTTTTTCAAGTAACTTGACCAACACTGGTCTCCGTTTGCTTCTTTAGCTGGTAAATGTTTGCATGCTTGCATTTTAAACTGGCAGGAAGTGAACCAGAAGAATGACAGTGGGCATTAAATGAGGGTATAAGACTGGGGCTGCCCTTTTACCTCGATCATGGTGGAGTTCCACAGTCGGGCTTTGATGGTCAGAGTCGCCGAGTTGTTCATGCTGACGAGAGGACAGACGAACTTCACGCACCTCGCTCCGCGGACACAGTCCTGCAACACGGTTTGCTGTGGTTACTTTGAAACACAACTGTGGACGTCCTCATAAAAATGTCCTCATGTTCTTCAGAAGCCCTCAGTTTTCTAAAACATGTCAAAATTGTTCCTCAAATTGTCCTCTCTCCTAAATGTCCCCACATTTAAAACTGTCCTGTCCTCCAAGATTGTCAATAAGCTTGTAGAAACAGTGTGTCCCTGTGCTTGTGTCTGTACCAGACTGTAGCGCTTCTTCTTTCTCTGAAGATGGAGGACAGTTGGAGTTCTGTCAGTCTGCTCCTCTTCCTCGTTTACTTCATCCAGATTCCTCTTCATCTTCTTCTTCTCCTCTTTTGACAGCTGAACCAACAGGAAGACAGGCTAACTTTCAGAGACAAGTTTAAAATCTTCGGTAAACAGTTCAGTTTTAATTGGCCTTTATTCTAAAGAAGAACGACTTTTATTTTGAAAGTAGTGTATGAGGCTGATGTTGCTGTGGTTACCGTGAGGTTGAGAGGATTAATGATGTTGCCGGGTGGAGAGCAGCGAGGCTCTGAAGTACCGTTTATTTGGATCTCTGTGAGGTACAGCAGCCACTTCCCATTGGTGGCTTCCATTGGCCAATCAAACTCCACCTCCAGGGTGCCCAGGTGGCCCAGCGGCTTTCCCTGGACATGCACCTGATGGAGAATACCGTTCACACCTGACCTGGTGAGGGTCACGCAGAACTGTAAATGTTTTCAGACTAACCTGGAAGGTCAAGACCAGCAGGCTGCCGATGTCCTCTGTCTTCTTCATGGCCACCTCACCGATCACATGACCACTGAAGGAGGTGGGGCCTGACGTTGAAATTCTGTCGAGGTACCAGATGAAAGGTTACCATGCCTTCTCCATTTAAAATACTCAGAAGTGTGGCTCCGTGTTGGAGCGTTTCTGTGGACCACTGTGGCCCTTCTTTTCACCTGTCCAGCACTCCCGAGTGCAGTGTGTTGCACTCTTCATCCTCTTCATACCTGCCTCACTTCCTTGTCCCCCATTAACCATATAAGTACAGGGTGTCTGTAGCTCACAAGATAGGTCACCTACTAACTGGAAGGTTAGTGGTTTGATCCCTGACTGCCTTGGGCAAGATACTAACTCCAACTTAATGACTCGCTGCCCTACAAGGCCACCTGCGTCGGGCTAGAGGACACACACGCAGACACAACTGGACCAGGGCAGAGATGCTGCCGTCTACACCGGGTCACTCTTACCCCATTTACCCACCCCTATTGCTTGTCATGTCTTTTCACGGTGTTACGGTGTGAAGGCATAGGGATAGCTCAGTAGGTAGCGTGGTCGCCCCGTGACCGGAAGGCTGGGAGTTTGAATCTACCGAACAGCTACCCTCAGGTACACCGGAGCAAGGTACCATCCCCATTGTGTAATGTATGTACAAGGAGTCCAATTTCACTGCAGGGAACTGCTAGTGACAAACAAAGGCTTCATCATCATCAACTTGCTCTGAAGATGCTCCATCTGAATATGAATATGTGTGAATGTGAGCTAGAGCACACTCAAGTGCTTGCATGAATGATGCAAGTTAAATAAAGCACTTTGAGTATAGAGCCAGTCTATTCAGCATTTACATGGATGTAAGGCATGTGTTTATTGATACTGTCTGTTATCTATGTGCTGATGTTCATCATTTTTTTACTAATTTTGACGCTGTGAGCTGAGGTCAACGTTTCCACTGTGCTTCGGTTTGTTCTGTGTCGGCTCACATTGGGGCAGGGTTACTGTCCTTGTCAGTCTGGATTCATTTCACAACAAAGAGTCGTAACTCAGATTCTCCTCCCTGGCTGTGAGCTTAAAGCTCAGACGGGCCACCTGATGTGCACCTGATCTGTACTTACAAACTGAGTGATGTCTGCAGCAAATACTCCACCACCATGAAGACGGAGATTGGGGACAGATCCGGCTGTTCACTGAGCCTGAAGACACACAGAAATGCCACTCAGTAACCTCCAACAAACACAGAGAGAGTGGCGTGTGGTGAAGGCCGTACGTGGATAGCTGCAGCACAGACTGGATCTCGCGTGTGTCCAAACTGATCTCAGATGGCTGAAATTTGATCAGAACCTGAACCTGAAACACAGGAAGAGACAATACATCAGAAAGAGCTCAGCAGAGTTACTGCAGTACAGACAGCAGCAGACAGCAGCAATGCTAGTGCCCTGGGTCAGCAGTGATATTCCCTACCTTGTTGTTGCTTCTGAAAGGGTTCCCGAGCTCACACTGAAGAGAGGTCCCCTCCACAGAGCACTCCACCACTGCCGAGGCATCACCCTGAAACACAAAGAAAAAGGGGTGATATGGTACTACAAGGTCATTAAGATAAGATGGGGCCTGATTATTTAAGACCTTGTATGTGAGGAGCAGGATTTTGAATTCTGGATTTAACAGGAAGCCAAAACAGGAGAAATCTGCTCTCTCTTTCTAGTCCCTGTCAGGACTCTTGCTGCAGCATTTTGGATTAGCTGAAGGCTTTTCAGGGAGTTTTTAGGACTTCCTGATAATAATGAATTACAGTCGTCCAGCCTGGAAGTAATAAATGCATGAACTAGTTTTTCAGCGTCACTCTGAGACAGGATATTTCTAACTTTAGAGATGTTGCACAAATGGAAGAAAGCAGTCTTACATATTTGTTTAATATGTGCATTGAAGGACATGTCCTGGTCAAAAATGACTCCAAGGTTCCTCACAGTGTTACTGGAGGCCAAGGTAATGCCATCCAGAGTAAGAATCTGCTTAGATACCATATTTCTAAGATTTTCAGGGCCGAGTACAATAACCTCAGTTTGATCTGAATTAAGAAGCAGAAAGTTAGCGGCCATCCAGGTCTTTATGTCTTTAAGACATTCCTGCAGTTTAACTCATTGGTGTGTGTTATCTGGCTTCATGGACAGATAGAGCTGGGTGTCATCTGCATAGCAGTGTAAATGTATGCTATGTCTTCTAATGATGCTGCCTAAGGGAAGCATGTATAATGTAAACAGAATTGGTCCTAGCACTGAACCCTGTGGAACTCCATAATTAACCTCAGTGTGTGAAGAGGACTCTCCATTTACATGCACAAACTGGAGTCTATTAGATAGATATGATACAAACCACTGCAGCACAGTACCTGTAATACCTACAGCTGCTCTAACAAAGTCACCGTGGTGTTCCACTTTAGATGGTCGGAGCTCTGCTCTACCTTTGTCTCTACTCCAGAGTAGATAAGTGATGGTGGGATGCTGATGCTCAGAATGGTGTTGTGAGCATCCTCTGCTGGTTGACCTGTTGATGGTGTATTGCTGATGTTAACCTCCAGAAACAGCCTCTTGATGGTGGAGTTGAAGTACATCACCTGAGTACCCTCAAGCCTGAAAACACACAAGAACACAAACATCGGCCAAACCTCAGCAGCTGTCTTAGTTAATAATCACCTGACAGACTCTAACCATGTTGTAACTCACAGACTCTAAGCCAGTCTTCTGTTCTTTTGTCTGTTATTGTTTATTCTTAATGTTTGTACAGTTTCCTTTAAAAGTGAAATATTTGAATTTTGTTTTTCATTATATCTCAGTACCTAACAGTTAGTAGGAGACACTGGCCTTCAGGCTTTCTGGCAGAACACCTTCAGGGAAGTAAGTGGAATATCAAAGTCAATCATCAAGTAAGTGGTTGCAGTGGGATGTGGTCTGTGGGTTCAGGGGGAGGTGCCAGACAAGGTTGGCCAGCTCTGCCCTATTTCAGTAGCACGCCAGGACATGGAGAAGGAAGGAGCTGAGAGCAGACAGCTGCACCGGGATCAAATGTGGTAAAAGGAACATTCTGAGCTAGTCGGCACATCCGCCTGAAAGGCACCTTGTAATTAAAACACTGTGAAACACTAACACATGTTACAGTGGCCCTCAACTGCCCAGCAGGACAAGGTCAGTCCCCTGACCCATCCAGGAGAGGGGGCACTGGCAGAGATGGTGGTAGTGCCAGACTGAAGTGTTAGAAACCCGTGGCAGCGCTGTGACACTGGCTGAGAACCAGCTAGCAGCAGCCCCAAGAAGAAGGCCCCGTGGCACTTCCCCGTTTCGACTGTCCGCTTAAGGACAGCAACAACAATCTCCAACTAACCTCTATCTGTCACCACAGGTCTTGGCGACAGTGGACGCTACACCTTGCTTACTGGGAGTCCCACAAAGATTGGGACAGCAATGCTGGTGGTGCAGATGACCGGTACACATGCACCAGGAGTACCCACTGATGGAGGAGGAAAAAGTGCTCCAACACCCTCACCCAGTCTGGTAGAGACATTCAGTGTGCCGGTAAGGTGCCAAGGGGGTACAGGTCGGTGTGCGATGGACTCAGGCTGCACACAGACTCTGGTCCACCAAACCCTGGTTTGCCCGGAGCATTGGTTGAAACAGAGCATGGGGACATTCCTAAATCAATTTCATATCATTCAAATGAAAATAACTCAGCATTAGCGTTAGCTGATATACTGTAGAAGATGGATATTTAAAGCTTCAGTCAGTGATTTTTTAAGTTATTTAATAAAATAAAAGAATACTGCCTGGGTTTGTGTTGGGATGCACTGATGACCATTACTGACATCGTCAGTGGTGACCCGGGGTGAGTGAGGCTGTTTAATGCTGACTCTGAGGAGGAGGAAACAGCGGGGCTTCCAGTGATTCGCTCCACAGAGATGTATCCACTGGAGCATCGAGTGTAGTCACAAGACAACACTCGATGATAGAAACTGATGTTCACATGGTGCGCCCAGGTATGGGAACTGATAAGAATTTAGCGATTTCGATTTCACTATTGATATCACTTATCAATTCTATTCCTTATGGATTCTCATTGGCTCCACCATCAACGACAACAAATTCATGCAAATTAATAACATGCTGTTTGGTCAAATCAATCACAACAACTTATTGCTGCTAAAGGAGGGTCTGAAGCTGCTGAATCATGGAGTGTACAGCTGTAACAATGATTAGTCTCAGACGTGTAGTTGCTTCATTTTCTTTTTCAAGTGTAGTGGATTTCTGGGTATACAAATATAAATGAGATAATAAATAATGATAAATAATAACAAAGATTTTAACTCCAGTGAAGTACAGAGCTTCTTATCTGCTTCATCATGCCTTTAAATTGGCTTCTTATCACATGACCTCATGCTTCCTGCTGAGTGTTTCTGTCCAATCATCTTTTTTGGACTCTGGGCTGAGCAGTGTGTGTTCTGTTCACTCACTCGGGGAAAGCTTTCTGGCTCTCATCGGTGAACCGAGCTGTCATCTGCAGGTTGCTGTGGCAGCGGTTATCAGAACCACAGTCCTTCTGGATGTGGATCTGAGGGACAAGGACAGCATCGGTCAGACCAGCAGAGTTTGGCTTTTCTATAAAAAGGTTCTGATGGGTTCTGACCTGGGTTCTGATGGGTTGGGGGGTCTCACTCAGCACCGGGAGGCGTTTCAGGTCCTGCACGTTCTTCTTTTTCTTGGGAAACTTCTCGTACAAGGAGGCATTCAAGGAGAACACCAGAGGCTCCACTTTGTCTCTGATTACACTCTTCAGAACATAAGAACACAGAAACTGAACATCAGCTCAGTGCCAACATGACGTGGACTGCAGGAGCTTCTTTGCAGGATCTGTCCAGCCAGACTGATGTGAACTGGCCACTTGGAGCTGAGGAAATCAGGCTGAAAGCAGGTGGTGATCAGCAGGAATGTGAAGTAAACACGAGTCAGTGGACTGAAAGCATGAGAAACAGCAGGCTCGCTGACAGACTGAAACAGAATCACAGAGTGAAAACAGGACGAGAGCCGAGCGAACGCGATCAGAAACACAAACCGAAGACATGAACGAACGTGACTTTTGCTTCGACCTGCCTACACACCACCTCAGATGCTCGCTGTGGTTTTCCTGTTGAGCTGTGGCTGAGAAGCAGGATGTGGAGTCTGTCAGCAGCCGCATGAATAACATGGCGGCAGAAAGTCATCATGACTTTGATCATCAGAATCAGTTCGTTATATCTCACACAGCAGAACTTCCTTCATCTGACTCTAATTAAAGGAAAAAATATAATTTAAGTTTTTTCATGCAGAACTGGAGGACCACGTTTGGTCTTTGCTCTCGTTATGTGGTGTGCTGGTTTGGGACGATTCTCAGAGTGAGCTAGTCTTAAATAAACCGTGACACAGCTCCGACACTCGCCGCTCACATCGACACTAAATGTTTTGTTTCAGTGGACGTGCTTGTCAGATTTCAGCAGCCTGTAGGGGGTGCTATGCCTGTGTTTGTCTCACCTGCAGTCCCACTCTCAGCGTCCTGCACTCCTCCAGCGGCATCGACAGGTAATCAGAGTACACGCTCTGCCCGTTGTCATGAAAATTGAGGCGGGGCTTGACACTAGTGATGTCAGCTTTCAGCGTGAAGAGGATGGCTGTGACACAAAGATAAGGGTTCAAATATAAAACACACAGGCGTAAGATAATCACAGGTTGTGATGTGATTTATTTGTTGTTCCTTAACCCTGACATGTGACAGACACCAATAGAGTCCAGGATCTGGGTGGGCTTTAAGGCGTCTGGGAAGGGAACTCAAAACTGGATTATAGATGGCAGACAGTTGGTGTCGTAAACCCCCGCCTCTGTTCAAAGATGGTCGCTCACAGTGGACATAAATGCTTCTTTCACTCCTCTTTCAAACCATCTGTCCTCTCTGTCCAAAATGTGAACATTGGCATCCTCTTTCAATCCAGTTTTGAGTTCCCTCCCCAGACACCTTAACGCCCACTCACATCCTGGGTCATCTGACCTCAGGAAATCACATGACAGGGTGACTACGATGACCTGGTTGACTGAGAACCTTCACAGACATCTAAAATACAAGACTGTTTTATTAAAACTCCGGCAAGATTTTTATGAAATTGAGTAGGACCACGAATTGATCCTTGAGGAACTCCACATTAAAATTCATAGATAAAGATAATCTACATTTTAGACTGGATTTCAATACACAACATTTTATTTCTGATACTTTAGTTTCTCTGTGAAAAGATTAAGAACAAACATGTTCAAACAAAGGCTTGACGACATTGTGAGGCAGCATCAGATCATGGGAGTCGACAGCCACACTCAGTAGCTTAGATTAAAAAACATGCGCTGAACGAAATTTAAATGAATACACTGCCCAGGTAGCACATCCGAAGTTACTTTTACAACATCACCTTTGGTGGGACATATCAGTTTCATTTAATGTAAATGAAAATAACTCCAGCAGTGTTAGCTGACATACTGTAGAAGATGGATATTTAAAGCTTCAGTCAGTCATTTTTAAGTTATTTAATAGAATAAAAGAATACTGTATTCATAAACATACATACAGACAAAAATAGTGTTATTACACAGAAACTGATGCATTCTCATAAACGTATAGTTGATGTATTATCATTATTATTTTAGCAGAGTGGCTGGGAGGAACAACTCCCTTCTGACTAATGTTGGGGTTTTACACATGTGCCCATCACCAGTCAGAAGTGAGCGTCTCTGACTCACTAACTCGTATCAGACTCCATTCACAAACTTCTACTGCCTCCTCCAGAGTAAATAAAGGTGGATGCTTCTCACTCGGGATTGACAGATACTCTGGATTACTGCCATCACACTGATTTTTCTGCCAATACTACAGTTTGGGGTTTGAGTTGGGGTTTAATTATAGCAGAAAAGGTATCGGATGTATTACTGATAGTTGGCTGAAGCCTCACGATGCTTCTGTAATGGAACATGACGACTTTAGAGGAGATCAACTTGCAGGGAAAAAATCTTTTTATTAATTTGAAATTATTTTCAGTTTTGGTTGGTGTGACCTGCGATGACAGAGGAAGTACTCTTTTTATGCTGGGGTTTATCAATAGTTTATCAATATATTTATATTTGCACACCAATGCTAAATTAGCCAATACTTGAATGGACTCTGGTCTTCTCTTTCTGTGTGTAGTTGACATGTTAACAGTTATCAGCTTCTCTGTGAGACAGAAGACGCTTGGGTCCAGAGACACAGTGAGGGTGACCTTGTCTCTGATTGGTCAAATTAACACAACCAGCAAACACAGACACACACTGAGAGAGCGAGAGTCTCAGATGTAATAATATCAGTTTCTCTAATGTGATTTATCATTCAGAGAATCACTCAGGGGACAAGAGGACACACAAGGACACGGCATGATGTCATCTGTGCGTGTGTGTACAGGCGTGTTATAGCAACAGTGTGGCCTCAGCTCTGATTGGTCAAGTTAACGAGACACAATAAGGACACACGCTCAGAGTCTGTGTGTGTGTTGATTAAAAACTGGATCTAATTGACAGCTGTGTCCTGTCAATCACGCACACACACGCACGCACGCACGCACGCACGCACAGGAAGTTGATGTCATTAGCAAGTCCAGCCTGTAACCTCTTGTTAGTGGCAGTGTGGTCGATTGCTGTGCTCGCTTAGACTCTCCTGAGGTGTTACCTCAGGTCACCTGACCCAGGTGTGTGTCTACAGGTCAGAAACCACTACGGGCTGTTTCCATGGTTACACGTTGGTGGGCTGACACTCCACCATCTCGCTCAACTGCCTGATAAAATCCTGCTGCGTAGTTTCTGTCTGCTGGTGCTGAGAGTGATGCGAGATGGACAGTGAGAGTCCACCTGTTGGAGGTTAATCCAGCTGTGAGCTCAGCTTTGAAGGCAGCACCTCCTCTTGCAGCAGGCCATAGGGACGTGAACTTTGGATGAGTCACATGACTTCATCTTTCAACAGCCAAACTCTGGGAAAACTGGGAATGGTCATGATTTACTTTGATAGATAACAGTTTATGCCTGATTTTACTGGCACACGGGCACCTGGTAGGATATAATGAGCAACTACAGCCAGAAGGTTGGGTTAATGCATCCTTAAGCTAAAACTGAAGGAAGCCCGCAGCTATGGGCATTGGAGAAGGAAAGCAAACAGGAAAAATATGTAAATACTCTTGCATCAAACGCCATCAAAAACTAATGAAACGGGACTGATTCTGAACCTTCCAGGTAGACATAGCATGTTACAGGTGTACTACCGCGTCTGAACAATACTTCCTGGTTTAATTTGGCTCAGCTATCCTTCACGGACATCTCCCTGCAGTCCTGTTTTGGCCACTCGTATGCTCTCCTCCACAGAGCCAAACCTTCCAGCCCAGCCTTCCAACCTTCGCAGAAGTTAGCATGATCAGATTTAATATGGGTGCATTTTTTTGTCTTTGACTCACTGATGTTGTCTCTGTCGCTCTTCTCTCCCCTGTTGAACATGTAGAAGAAACACACTTCCACCTGTATACTGAGAGAGTCGAGCTGTTAGCATGTTATCGTGTGAAAACACCTCCGTACTGAGGGTCTGTGAGCATGTTAGCTGATGGTAGCTTTGAATCTCACCAGAAGTCACAGCTGTTTGGGTCCACGATGGTCGGAGAAACTTTGAGTGTTTTATTTAAATGGATGACCGGTCGACTCCTGAGGATCAACACATCAGTCCATTAATAAATGCATAAATTTAGTTATTCTTGAGCTCTTAATTAGCAGTAAGTGCTAATGATCAGTACTTTGAGGACTTCAAAATGTACTTTAGATGAGCACTATTTAGCGCAGAAGTTGGTACCTGAACAGAACAACGGTATCATCGAGAGAACCAACCAGCAGGTCCGGGTAATAGTTCCCATCAACATCCCCGCCTGCAGAAAGGGAGTAGCCAAAAGTCCCGAAAACAGGGGAGACCGTGCTGCCTCGGATCACCTGTACAGAGGAGGAGGCGGGGTCACAGGTGTGTCTGCACACCAATTTAAAAACCTTCACTGGCAAAACTTGTCTGGCCCGTGAGGACATGTCTGCACTCTGATGGTTCAGAGTTGGTTTGAAAGTTGTGTCCTGGGAATGTGGGTCAAACATAGAAAGGACCGTGTTTTTGTGAGACCTGGCTCGGCTCTGTAGAGATGCCCTCACTGCTTCCTGTCCAGATCATCACACTTCCTGCTTCATGAAAAGGAGCTCCGATGGCAAAGTCTGGAACAACCAAAGACCCGTCACCATGACTACTGATTAATGATCACGAAAACACCAGCATCACGTTGAGCCCTCACCCTGGAAGCTATCCTGGTTGAGGTCTCCTGCAGCGGCCACAGCCATGCCGAATGCCGACCCTGCCGGCCCCTTCAGCACTACGCTGGGCTCAGAATTGAACCTCCCTCCTACGTTCACGTAGACATAAACTGCCCCGCCCACCTCCGTCTGACGGTGGAAATAAAAAGGAGCGCCCACCAGCAGGTCGTTCCACCTGTGGGACAAAAAAGCAGCTCAGTGAGTGTTCCTGAAACATGTTCCTCAGGTTTAGATTATGGTGCTCTGTGGTTCCCACTGAGTCGTTGTCATCAGATTTTACTAAAGGTACTGACCGTGTTGCCTCAGTGCGGGTCATGTGACCCATAAACCATTCCTCACCCGTCATTATTGAGGTCAGTAACTGCCAAGGCGTTCCCAAAATACGAGCCCATCTGTTGACCGCGCAGCTTCTGGCGAATCATCAGTTTATCAGAGCGCTTGACGGCCAGCAGCACCGAGCCATGAGCGTCTTCCATACGGTCCCGAGGAGCTCCTATTCAACAACACACCAATCAACACATCTATCAGTAAATCTACAGGTCAACCAGCTGCTTCCTGATTAGCTGAAAAGTCTTCACCTGTTACGATGGTTTCATCATCCTCAGAGAGAAGGCGAGGAGCCTGAGCGACAGAATATCCTGCACAAATACACGTTTTACATTCAGCTTCAATTCTTTAAATGTAGGAAAGGTTCCCATTAAAAGCATACATGTCTGAACATTCATTGAAACTTCAAAATAAAAGCAGCTGAATTCTGTGACACACAGACAGATAGATACATGCGAGACCGATGGAGGACTGATCCAGAGGAGACCTGCTTCATTAAAATAAGTCTGCCACGTAAAACAATAACACAAAGCACGATTCAGATCCTGACTGATCCGCACGTCAAAGTATCGGCTGCTCATCCACATACGTAACTCTGCACTTAGCTTGTGAGGCTGCAGGTATTTATTTAAGTCAAAGGAAAGAGCCGGACTCACAGCCACCTGTGGCGGCAAACACTTCCTGCAGAAACCAGAATTACACTTTTTGAACGATATGAAAGCCGGTTTGACGCGTGCGTTTCTGAATGAAGACACACAAACAGAGAGTTTTCACTATGGACTCTTTTCTGCGTCAGCGTGTGACTAAAAACCTGAAACACTGCTCACAATAAGCTAAGCCTGACGAGAGCTTCTGCTCTGTGTTGAGGAACATTAGCGTTTCTACAGGACACCGTCCCTCTGCTCCACCCTCATTAAATCATTGTCTCAAACCGCATGTGCTCATTGCAAACCTTATTTAGGCACATTCATGTAGCTGATTTAAATACTGTCCTGCCCTGAGGAAGACACGTGTGACCGAGCTCAGATCTGAATGAGCTATTTAAAGAGATGGCGCACCGATGTAGATGTTCCTGTGCTTCTGGTTGGAGAAGGAGCTCTTCTTGGTGTCAAACTCATCGTCAGGGTTCATCCAGGAGACTTGGACGTTTCCTACAACACACACACCATGAACTGCATTAGATGCTCACAGAGCTGAGATGCTCGCTCTGAAAAGGAAGAAAAACATCAGAATAGAATAGAATAGAATCACCTTGCCATTCGAAGCTTCCAGGCGAGCCAACAATGACTTCGCTTTGAGTGATGGCCGCTGACATCCCCATCCCGCACATGACCTCACCAGTGAAATCACCCAGATGACTGAATACAGACAGGCAGCAGGTGAGGAGGCGGAGCATCACTCATCACCTGTAGTGTGCAGTCATGTGACATACCTGCAGGACTGTTCGGGGTCCTGCCAATTAGAGTCGTTCTCGTCGTACCGCAGGTCGTTTCCACGGAGATAACAGCGGCCAATCATTTGCCTTAAATTGAACGCTCCATAGAGTTTTGTGAAGCGGTGACCGCATGCCTGCAGAGCAAACACGCCGTTCTTTAACTTCTCACCAATAGGAAAATAATCAGCCAATCAGAGCACAAACTCACCAGGACACGCCCCCCAGGCCGGCCCTGACTGGCTACTGAGACGCCCAACCACATGTCCTCGACCAGTTCATCAGCATGGATCTTGGCTGAAACACATCACAGGTGAGTCACAGACTGTAGGCTCCGCCCACTGACGGGGTAAAGGTAAAAAAGTAAACTTTTGTGTGATTTATTCCACTGACTCTAACCCCATACGACCTGTGCTGCAAATATGTTGTCCAGCAGCTGACAGAGCAGGTGCTATCCTGCACACCTGAGCTGCAGCACTATGACAGCACAGCTCACCTGGACCTGTCACACAGGTGTCACATACCCGCTGGCTAACCTCAGCCGGGAGAGTCAGCTCAGATCAGTGAGTCGCTGATTCATGACAGTTTCTCTCCATATAAACACTGTGTGTGTGTGTGTGTGTGTGTGTGTGTGTGTGTGTGTGTGTGTGTGTGTGTGTGTGTGTGTACATGTGGGTGGGTGTGTTGCTGTTGTTGTGTTTGAGCAGCCGATAACACACACAGCAGCTTTCACTGCTCACTGAGGGATGGAGTTCCCATAATGCACCAGGACACTGATAGCATCACCCATTAGTGCAGCCAAACAAGCTCAGGAAACGGGTCGCTGACTGTCAGGCTGAGTACCTGATCTGTGATTGACCGATACAAGAGAAAGTAAACAAACCAGCCAATAAGGCTAAGGACACGTGTGACTCACTTGGATCTATGAGCTTCATCCTCCTGCAGTCTGACTGGTTGGCACTGATTGGACAGGTGTACACTCCTCCTGTGTGATTGGCTGGAACATTTGGCTCCGCCTTCTCTCTGGGGGCTCCGACTAATAGCCTGTCGGGATGACACAGACGGCACAGTTAACGTTTGAGATTCTGGGTGGAATAAATGAGGAAACGTCTGAAGGACACACACAGAGGACACGGGTCGCCTCCTTCTAAGGAGCTTCAGTCACGTGACGTGAATTATCTGAAGATGAGCAAACCGGCCCAGCCTTCCAGAGACAGTTCGGGGGACTCTGTTTGTGTCAGTGCCGTCTACATTTAGTCTCACAGTAAAGTTTTACTGGAACAAACGTGTCCTCCCAGCTGAGAGCTCGTTCACAGCAGCCTGACCTGACTGTGCATCTGTACCTGTTTAACTGCTGCTGTGGGGTCCCAACTGCTTCACAGCTCAAACCCTATCAAACACACATTTGAACTCTGCCTGTCCTTAGGCATCACTACCTGCTTAACGTGTCTCCCAGAATCACCTGACTATGCATAGTGTCCTCAAGAACCCATAAGACCATGGCAGATGGCCCCGCCCCTCCCTGAGCCTGGTTCTGCTGCAAGTTTCTTCCTGTTAAAAGGGAGTTTTAAAAGAGTTTTAAAAGAGTTTTTCCTTCCCACTGTCACATAGGGGGTCATATGATTGTTGAGTTTTTCTCTGTATCTATTATTGTAGGTTCTACCTTACAATATAAAGCGCCTTGAGGTGATAGTTGTTGTGATTTTGAATTATTGATCATGAGTGTGACAATCACAGAGGAACACACCTGGGGGGAGGGGGGGAACTTCCAATCAAAGACATTGACCTCCTAACCCCTGAACACTCCAAGGAAGCTACATTAGAGTGAGAGTGTGTGTGTGTGTGTGTGTGTGTGTGTGTGTGTGTGTGTGTGACTAACAGCTAATCCAATTACAGAGTATAAAGAGACAGTTGTCACGGTGACTAGAGACAGACAGCTGGGTGGCCTCTGTGTGACCGCCTCTCACATAGAGACAGGAAATGTGCAGCTTTAGTGTGACCTGCACTTCCTGTTAGACCCCCCATCTAACCTCAGTTTACTCTCACACGATACTCTGCAGACAGTAGCTGCGCGCAGAGACTTGAGCTGCTTTTATTTTGAAAGTCTAACCTAAAAATGTGTGTGTGCAGTGTGAGGCTGCACCATGTGACCTGCCGGCATCTGCTCGGACTCACTCTGACGATAAACGCCGCGCTGACAGAGGTGGGCGCTGTCACTCCTCTGCTCCCCGACATTACGGAGCCCCCGAAAACCTCCTGAAGCTCCACCTTTCTTAATACCGCCTTGTCCTTTATCTGCTGTTTGCGCAGACTTCAGAAGAATTCAGACATATTATTAACGCTGTGGGGCATTCACCTGACTCTGTGTGTGTCTGACGCACACACACAGAGTACGGTGTGTGTTTGATAGGGTCCAGTGAAGGAAGCGGAGAAGTCGGCCAGAATTCGGTGGAGAACAGTCACCTGAAGCCAGACAGACCACTCTGTGAAGCCAGAGAGCGGACAGAAATGTTGCCCACGACGACCACAAAATGATCCACTATTTTAGACGTCCTCACAACTCCAAATGCCACGTTTATTATTCACACATGAAAGTGTTTCTGAGATATGACCTCACTTCCTGTTTTACTGCTGCTTTGATTAGCTGTGATAGATTTGGTTCTAACTGATGAAAAGTGGAAACAATGTTGCTTTGAACTCTGCTTCATCAAAATAATCCAGCAGTTCTTCATCTATAGAAAAGGACCCACACAAGCCCGCTCTGTCACAACACTGGTGTTAATGGTCACTTTGAGGACAGTAGAGATCTGCTGACCTAAGGTTCAGTCTGAAGTCAGATCATTTACCCGGACACACCTAAAAGCAGATGTACAGCTAGCACGCACGCGCGCGCGCACACACACACACACACACACACACACACACACACACACACACACACACACACACACACACACACACACACAGGTGTGTACTCACAGGTAGCTCTCTGTCTTCAGGTCTTGGTGCAGAGCAACAGAAAATCCAAACAGACTTCCTCGTTCGCCCATCTTCAGCAGTGGAAATGATGTGTCGAGGTTAAACGCTGCACACACGCTGATACCCACAACCAGCAACATGCACACACCTGTTGCCATGGAGACACACACCTGAACAGCAGAAAAAAGTCAGAAGTGCGATTGTCAGTAAGTTATCTTTAATGTCACACAGGTTTTATTCTACCTGGCTGTATCGTCATGGTAACTGATGCTCAGTGGAAGACGTATGAAATGTGAAAGCTGCTGAGCCGTACCTTTGTCGTGTCATCAAATGAGTCCTGAGTGAATCTCTCAGAGTGTTAAAATGCTGACTGTGGTCTGGATAGCCATCTATCTCTTTCATGCAGACGACACTGTTATTGATGAGCCTCTTTATACCCTCACAGTCACACTCCACCGTGAACTTAATCTGCTGCGTTTCAGGACGTTTTGGTATAATCTCGAAAAAACTGGATTGGGGTTGTATTTGGAAATGTAATTCACAAAGGTAGCATGAAAATCAAAAGTCAAAGATTATTGTAATCTTTTATTTGAAGTTTGAATCTCTGGAAGCAGGATTGATGCTGCTCAGCTTTCTCTGGGTTATGTTAAGAAAGAGTGCAGCTCATCCAAGCTGTGTGAGCTTCCTACTTTGTGATGATCTGCTGGGATTGGTGGTGGTCGCTCTGCCACGGTTGATTTGAAGTTGGTATGGAAAATGAGGAGCACTTCATCATTCTACCTGCTCACAAGCTTAATGGAGATGCTGATTTCTTTTTCCAGCAGAGTTTAGCAGGTGTCCGCAGCAGCAAAGCTAAAGGAAACAGTTTTCTGGTCACCCTGAACGCCACAGAGAATCTACGAAAGTCACTTCACCCAAAACTTCAGTAACACCTCAGCAGCTATGAGCTTTTCTCCTCCGTGCTATCGTTGTGTTCCTTATCCTTTTCTACTGTATTTCCTTGCAGCTCTTTACTCTTCTCTCTGTGTTTTCTGTTGGGTTTATGTCTTTCAGTAAATACTGAGAAACTGTCTTTCTGTGAGCTGCAAACAGTATACCTGTACTGACTGTATTTTTGCTTTCACTTCAGGCTGTTCGTTCTGGCACTAATGAAACATTAATTACATGTAACAGCGCATTAAATATGAAGTGTTTTCAGTCATTCACCCATTCACACACACATTCACACACTGGTGATGGCAGCTACGTTGTAGCCACAGCTGCCCTGGGGCGCACTGACAGAGGCGAGGCTGCCGGACACAGGCGCCACCGGGCCCTCTGACCACCACCAGTAGGCAAACATGGGGTTAGTATCTTGCCCAAGGATATTTGACATGCAGCCCGGAGGCAGCCTGGGATCGAACCACCGACCTTCTGATTAGTGGCTGACCTGCTCTGCCACCTGAGCTACAGCCTCTCACAGAATCTTTACCCAGCAGACTTACAGTACATTAGCTTTAGATGTGGAGTATTTTGACTCTGTGGCACTTCATTACAGCGTGAGGACACCCGTCTAACCCTGGAATGAATTTACTGAGATATTAAATTTGCTGCTGAATAATAGAAATCTGGTCTGAAGTCTGTCCCTGTCAGATCAAATGTAAAGAAATAAGGGTAGAGGAAGAAATGCAGACCTGTTGCTCTTCCTGTTGGCTCATTGGTTTGTCCCTTGCAGGTTGTCAGTTTGATTCCCGCACTGCTCCGTCTGACTTCTCCTCCGTCTGCTCACCGACTGATCTGCACACGCTCAGATGCCTCCCTCACTCACGCCCTCATTCTCATTCTTCAGCCGTGCTCACTCGCCCTGAAATGAAATCATGTCTCTCTCTCGGTTAACCCCACCCCCACACTCTCTCTCTCTCGCGCACGCGCACACACACACACACGCACGCACACGCACGCACGCGCGCACGCACACACACACACACACACACTATATTTGTCTTTCTATCTTTGTGAAGACCCATGTTCTCATGTTGCTTGTAGAACGCCTGATCTAGAACCAGAACAGAACCCTGAAATTGGTTTTGAAGGTCCAAGACATTCAAAACCTGGACCGCTCAAGTCCATGAAACAAAACCAAATGTCCTCACAAAGCCCAGAACTCACATGAATAGACATTTGAGCACCCACCCACACAAAGTCACAAAATGATTCAGGTTGTTTGGACATTTGAGGGCACCTTGATTCTCGCCACACACACACACACACACACACACACACACACACACACACACATTCCTGTCTTGCATAACGACTGAGGACCGGGTAAGTGTACTATCAAAGTGAGGACCACCATTTCTGCTACACTTGCAGACAAACCTTTGCCATTTTTGAACACTGGGTGGCTCTCTAACACCAAAAATCACCTCAAAATCTTAAAACACTCAAGTAAAAAAAAATCTCATTCTACTATCAGAATGAGGACCTTGTCATTGAGTGCTATTCAGGTGATTTTCCACCAGGGGGTGCTTTTGTGTTCGTTTCTGTCTATATGTTTTTTTCTGTTTGCATTTACTCCTTGACATTTTCTATTTTAGTGCAACCAAATAATGTTAAAGTTAAACAGTCTCAACTTTATACATAAATAGAATAACTAAAAAGTTCTGATAATCTATCAAGACAACCCTACATAACAAAAGGTAGTATTACATTTCAAATACCGCTGTAGATTTTATTAATAATTACCAAGGAAATTCCCACAATGCTGCAACAAGAGCAAATTCAGTTTATTTCACAATGTAACATCCTTCCAGAGGAATAATAATTGCTATTATAACAATGAAGACAACTATTAAGTCTAATGACTTACAACTAAAATAGTGATCAATAACTTTGATCGGTTTGTTTTGACTTCTGCCAAAAAGAAAAATCAGTAAAGCTTAGGATGGCTACAACTGTACTAGTATGACCTTCCTGCTTCCTACATAATTCCCAGCCGTCTTTGCACTGCCGTCTTCTCTGCTTCACTCCATGGCCTCTTGACCTTCGCACGGGGGATCTCTACAAATAACACAAAAGACAACATGGACTGTTAACTTTACAACATGTATGTAACCGTAGTTTTTTTGTTTTTGTTTTGATTTTGAAATGGGGTTCTGCTTGTGTATATTTACAGAAAATGCCAAACCAAACTGTAGGTTCAACAATTTACTCAACATTTTGTACCCAAGATATGTAGTAAGCACTTTTAAATTAAGTATTTTGAGTTCACAGAAACATGAGATCAGTTATTGAGTAATATACCTACAGAGTGAAACAGCAGCCAATTTACTTTTATACATTTTGTTTTCAAAGGTACATGTTGCATCTAGCCTTTTAAAATAAGATGCTAACTAGTTATTAGTCCTGTTAAAATCATTCATCATAACAATATTCTTGTAAAAAAACAAAAAAACTGTCAGACTTTAATAATTTGCTATTGTTTTAAATAAGGCAAATATTTCTGATGTACTAGTAATAAAAAAACCCTGTGCTGTTGGTAGTAGTTCTAATCTAGTTAACTGACATCACATATTTTAAGTCAATTTTTTTTTTATTATGAAATACAATTGCTAATATCCTTGACAATGTAACAAATTACCTAGATCATGATTCAGAACCAAACATAACTGATTGACATGATCTTTTCATTTTATCTGAATTTATGCGTTTTATTTGACAAACTGTCACAGTTTTGCGACTGGCGCACAGATACAATACCAAAGAGCAGAATTAAGTTTTGTCTATCATTAGTCATAAGGCCTGTACTACAAAGCACATTCAACACATCAAGGCTATCTTTCCATAATCTGGATTCACTTAACCTGAAAGTGGCGATCTGGATAAGTGGTCACAAAAAGCTTAACCTGCATGGTCGCATGAAAGGGGTGGCATTGTGAGCATCTGTTCACTAATGATTATTGAAAAGCGTACTGGAAACAGAAGCTGATTTTTCAAAAGATAAAAGTATAGTATTAGGCAAATATGAAGATATTAAAACAGACTGCAGCATAACTAAGGGAGGATTCAGGGTCACCTGGTCCAGCCTGAAATATATGCTTTAGCAAAAAGGAAAGTTTGAAGCCTAATGTAGTCTACTCGATGAGCTTTGTTGCTTGTACTTGCCGTTTCTTGCTGTCTTTTCACAAACCTCACACTGAAAATGATGGTCCATACTGTCAATCTAGTTCACTTTACAAATTTTGATTTTAAAACACAACATCTGTGTGTGTAATTGGTGGAAACTAAAATACGCATTGTAAAAAAAAATAACATTGAGATAAAGTAGTTGTCTTTAATTGGTAAATCATAGGACCTTAAACAGGTATTTTCTATGATAATATAACAGGACATTTTCAGCCTGCATTTTTTTTTTTAATTCCAGACTTGTGAAATGACCTGCAGAACCCTGCCATGTGTTTTGTAGTGCTGTTCTTGCAAAGTGTGAACTCACGCAACACAGCAGGTTAAACTAGTCACTCACCAGAATAGGTAGCCTAACAAATCATAAATGTAACAATAAAAGTGAAGCAATCATTCTTTCAGCTGAACTCTTTAGGGGTCATCACAGCGGATCATCTCCTCAACCTCCTCCTATACCAGCATCCTCCTCTGTCACACCAACCTTCTGCCTGTCCTCCTTCACATCCATGAACCTCCTCTGAGGTCTTCCTCTTCTCGTCCTGCCTGGCAGCTCCATCATCAACATCCCTTGGCAGCCTCCTCTGCACATGTCCAAACCATCTCAGCCTTGTCTCTCTTTGTCTCCAAACCTCTGACCTGAGCTGTCCCTATGATGTAGTCATTTCTAATCCTGTCCATCCTGGTCATTCCCAATGAAAATCGTCATAGCTTTCCTCACTACCATTTTGTAAACCTTTCTTTTCCCTCTTGCTACTTTCCTTTTATAACACATCACCCCTGACACCCATCTCCACCCCCTCTGAATTCTCCTCTTCAACTTACTGTAAAGCAATACTTAAACATTTTCAATAATTTTTCTAATTACCAACAAAATAATTCTGGATCAATATTATCAAGAATTTTGTGTTTGTGTAGGCATATATTCTGCCACAGAGGACAAAACTATAAGGAAATAAAGTCATGTCTACAACCTGATTCATATACTGCAAACAGAAAATTTTAAATACATTTAAAGTTTAAAACATCTCACCCTTTGCTTTGGCCACTTTGGTTTTTCGCCTTTTCCTCAAAGCCAGTCTTGCTTCCTTGCTCTCTTCTAAAACAGAAACACACAAACAATGGTAGCTGTTATTGTACAAAGCAGATTGTACTGGAATAGAATTTGAGTAGAATACATACAACAGTGTCACTACATTTCAGACAAAAGCTTAAACTCACCATCTACATCTGAACTCTCTTCACTGGTGGGCTCCGGTCTCTTTTGAGAGGAGAAATGCTCAGAACTTCCACCTGAAAAACAGAAACATTCATGTGCCACATCTTCCTAATTCACTGTGTTTTTGTACTGAATGACTCTGTAAAAAACCTGACCTTCACCCATCTCACTGCCTCCTCCTTTTTCATTTCTCTGGGGGACACGGAGTAGCTGCTATGTCAAATATTAGCCATCTGGAGTCACAAAAAACTTCAAACACAAACAGTATTGTTGACAAATATGACAAAAAACAAAGATGCAACAACAACGTGCAAAGGAGCAATCTTAACTTCTCCAAGTGTCACTATGTCATCCTAGAAATGAAATTACTCTTCTTTTAGTTAAGATAATTAAAACAATGCAGCACAACCATTCAAAGGTGCCATTTGTGTAAACATGCACTGGACAAATGTAACAGTTTTTAATTTAGAATCTGGGTCGTGGTGATAAAACCACAAATCTCTGAGATGTCCTTTTTTCATGTGTTGTGAGTCTAGTTCTTGCTGTAATAAAAGAGCTCACTATAGAGTGAGTGTACATGATCAAGTGTTATCTGTTGTATAGACTACTGAGCACTGAACTAGGCCAACAGTGTGTTTCTTTGGCTGTAACATGCCACCCAGTTCATTTTACCATTAGGAACCCAAGCTAACAGGTTAACGTCACTCTCTAATATTAGTCAATGTCACATACATAACTTGCAGTTGCATAGCAGTTTATCAAAAATGCAGCTTATTCATGAGGCAGTATACCAACAGCTGTACTAGTGAGCAGGTAACACTTACCACCACTATCAGAACAGCCATTATCACTGCATGCGAGCGCCACGTTATCGTCTGCAATGTAAGAAATAAATATTGAAAGGATACAATTATATTTGGACATTTTTTATGAAGAGAGAAGTCTATAACATGACATTACTGTAAAATGTATAACCTAAGCTAATTTCTATTGTCATGAGCTTTAACCTCCTATGACCTGAACTCTTTCATGCCATTTTTAATTTCTCTTTGCTATTTGGGCTGATTGGGACCTGATGTAAAAACAAAGAATTATCTGAATTTTTTTTACCTCTCTTGTTTCTGAGAGGAGTGAGATCCACATACGAGGGCATTTGTTTTAAATTTCGATAGAACAGTGGCAGTATAATGTCCTTGTAGAGCAAAATTTAGTATTTTGGTCGAGACAACCCAAAATGTGATGTCCACATATGTGGACATCAGGTCCAAGGAGGTTAAAGTACACAACACTAACAATGCACCATAAAACAACAAGCAGGAGATCATGAATAGAAGACTAATCTTATTTTAAAACCAGTGCCCATTTAAATTTAAGATTATGCCAGTCAGGATTCAGTTTGAGGTCCTCTAGCAAGGAATTCTACATGTTCTCTCCTGAACAGGAAAAGCTGTTTCTCCAAACAGGGATTTAAGTGACATCAGCTTCCAGCTGGAAGCTAACAAAGCCAAAAACTAAATACGACCATAAGATCACTGAGCATGTGGGAAACCTGGTTAATAAGCATTTTTTTTAATTTGTTTCAGAAAAATACATTTATTAAAATCATCAACCAAAAATTTCTTTAAAACATACCACTGCTGTGATGCTGACTTTGTCCTATTGCTTGATTATATACCATGAGACGGTGTTTGTAAACACGTTATACATGAAATTAAATGTAAAATAAATTCTCAGTGGATCAAACTATCTGTTGCATAAATAAATTGAATATATCCAAATAAATTTGTCATTTGAAAATCTGCTCATCATTTCAACCTGCTTAATAACAAAAATTTTCACATGTGAAAAGATATGTTTTTAAAGTTATAAGACTTCACTGAGCTCGTGTATTCCTGGCTGTAAGTAAAATAAGATGTTGTGGTATAACCGTGGTATCAGACTGCAGAGGACTGCACAGGTCTGCAATGAGGACACAGGCTGCAAACAAAAGTTACGTTCAACAACTTTTTGTCTTTGTCTCCTGTTTCTGTTGTCTGTTTGGGACTGTTTCTCATATCTGGCTTACATCATTTATATTATAAAATGCTGAGTTTCAACCATGTGTTGTCCTTGTGCCATTTTCAGGTAAAGAGGCTTCAAATGATTTTCTGATCAATGCCTATTTTATTTACATTTTATGCAGAACGTGGGGCCGATGTGATGCACATGAGTATTGTTCTAGCAGCAGTTGTTCATATTATAAGCAACAAAGAATCACATTTAGAAAACAATCACGTCTGATCTAAGAATCACCTATTCCCACCTTAACTGATAATGATTCTTAATGCATATTATAGTTTGTAGTATCTGTTGTTTGGTCTGTTGTTTGACACTCCTACGTACGATTCAGTAACGATTAAAGACTACATGTTCAAATATTCGATAAGAAGGCACATACCTGTATTTGGCTTGCTGCCGTGGCTTCCTTCACCTAATACCAAAGACAAAAGTCAAAGTTACTTCTCAGTTACAGTTAAATAATCCAGTTACAGTCAATAATGACTTGGAGGTGATACAGTAAAAGTGCACCAACAGTTTTGATGCAGCCCATTACCCATTCATTTACAGTAGCTCACCTCAATAAATATACAGGTGTCTTAGCAGTGAGCGCTCATGCAGGTGAACCTGCTGTAAAAATTGTGACCTACAACTCTATCAAATTTAAAGTAAAACAAAAAAAAAAACATGGAGCATCACAACGTTTCACCCGTTTTAGATATAGTAGTATTAGGCATTTAAAAAACAGAGTGTCATATAGGAAAGCTTATATGCCTTCTGATGGCTACACTGTTAGAGTGACATCATTTCCTTTTTTAACATACTTTTATTAATTACTCTCTGTACATAAAGCAATATTAGGACAGCATGTTATTGTTTCCTCCAAGGTGAGTCTTATTATAACACTAAAACATAGCAGCCAAAGAGACAACACATAAACACACTTTCAATTGTTGGAAGGCACAATTATAACACACTATACAAAAGGCTTATATTTTGTATAAGCATGTACATTATTTGCTTTGAATAGCCAAATTAATACTACATGACAGCCTTGATGTTCCACAGAAAAACACTATCTGAAGCCCACTTCAGCAACAGAACACCAGGCCTTCTGTCCAGTTATGTTTGACGGTGAAAAACAAATGAGAGGAATAAGACAAACGAGGCTAAACGGAGCACGCTGCTCAGCTGGGTCATGCTGATGTGCGGCTACGTCAGTAAATATACTGGACGGACAGACGCTGCTCAGTCACTGAAACATCGACACCAACATAAAACTCCATGTTGGCGTAAACACGTGGGAACGTTTATATTTGATGGATAAAGGAGGACAATGATTTCAAGCATTTTGGATTGTAAACACTTTAAGACAACAAAAGTTAAAGCATTGCTACGCGCATGCGTCACACTTCAGTCGTTTCCTTTACATATTTTGAAATGCTAACTTGATAGATGTTATAGCTGGGCAACTGAGGTTGGGTTTTAACAAAAGATTAAAGCGCTCGGAATAAAAGTGCCTTTCGACTAAATCTAGGCTAAAATTGTGACTTAAAAAGAAGGGGACAAAACCCAGTCAAGCTATAAAATGCCTTAAAGAGATACCCTAAATAAAATGGTACAAACCACAGTTTGGCCGCTTGTTATCTTTAATAAAGTTTGTGAAGAATTAAAAAGCATTCCACTAAGCTGTGTTGTGGCGAATCCACTTAGCCAAAAAAATGGATCGGACATCAATTGGAGAAACGATAGTCTTTATATAAGGCTTCAAAAGGGGGAATGTACAACAAATAAACTGCTCGACATCAGAGCAACATATAATGGCTTCCCAAAACTTTCTTTGCTAGCTAAAAACCCAGAGTAACTTTTGTCTACCACAAAGGATTCTGGGAAACGCAGTTTTCTAATGAAAATACCTGTTAAATAAATTAAATCTATAATTAACAGCTCTCACTAAACATGTGACTAACACTTAAATCACTTACAAAATAATCCAAATGCTGTTATCAAACAAACTGCACTAAAGTTACAACAAGCTGTCTTGTTAAAAGGCTGGAACTCACACAGGTCTGCAACCAAAACACTGCATAGGATTTTTCATTTTAGACTTTTACTCACTGAAACCGTGAAAAATCTCTAACTTCATGTTTTCTTGCAAAAATCATGTTTTTACTGTAATTAAGCGTACATTTTCCCCCTTTAAACTGAAAACCAGATCCGATAATTATTTCTTACATTAATTTTATATTTCTAAGAGCGACACTGAAGAGAAATACAGATAGAAATTGCCAGAAATTGAGGGGGAGGGGACGGTAGGTTTGGCATAAAATTTAGTGTTAAATATATCACGAAGGAATCGGTTTTTGTTCCTATGTTCAATTATAAGAAAAATTATGCATAGTTAATTGTAATAAAATATAGATTGAGACGAACTTTATGCATTGTTCAATTTAAAAAAAGTATATTTACTGCTGTGTCATTAAGTTAAAAAAAAATTAAACTTAATGTAAGATACCTTTTTCTTTCGTTTCTTAGAAAGACAACATTTGCACAGTTTTCATATAGCAAAAATGTGAAATCTTACCTGCAGAAAGCGTGCTTTGCAGTCTTCAGAGCTCCACTTAAACGGCTACTCCGACTGTGGACTGAATGACGTCACATGCCCTGCAAAAGTTTGAGAGCTGCAGTGCAGGTGCGCGGGGGGAGGGTCACTGATGGAGGAGCAGAGAGAGCCAAAGTTTTCTCCTCAGCTCTGACTCTCAAACCTGATTTACAGGCTACAATATGTGAAATAAAGGAATCCTGACATTTATTTTAACTACAGTTTAGTACACATTATGAAATCACAAAATAAAATTTATCTAAAGTAAGATTTAGTTTTACAGTCTAATTAAACTTTATATATATCAGTAGTGGAAAGAGCCATTACCATATTATTTATTTATTTTACACACACACTAAACAGCTATATTAGGTACACTTTGCTAGTCCTGGTTTGGACTCTCTTTTGCCTTCAGACCTGCCAAAGTGCTGGAAACATTTACCTGCCCTCCCCCACTGCAGCAGCTATGGGGGAGGTGCAGGGCATCAGTTAAGTTGGGAGCAGAGTGAGCTACAATTCTCTGCTCAGCTCTCACTCAGGCTCAGGCTTAGTGTACTGGCCAGAACACATGAAACAAAGGAACCCTGACATGTTTTACTACAATTTAGTACACATTATAAAAGCACATACCAAGATTTATATAAAGTAAGATTTAACTTTACAGCCTAATTTTACTTTATATACATCAGTAGTGGAAAAGTACTTAGTATTTATCTAAAAGTATTATTACCATAGGGAAAAGAAATACATATATATACACACAGTGGACTCATTGCAAGCCCTTCAGGAGGCGAAATGATGCAATTTAATGCAAAATACGTATTTCATCTGCTATGATGGGAAAGCCAGATATTTCATAGATGAAACTTTGAAATATCTGGCTTTTGATGATGATCAAACATTATTTTTTCTGCATATAGGGGAGAAGCATGTTAGGAGTCGAAGAGAAGGACAGGCAGGAGCGTGGAGGTACTATGACTGGCAAAGGGACAGAGCTGGCTGATATGACTGGAGAGAAGGAAGGTAGATTTACTGTGTGTGCAGGAGACCAGGTTGAAGGTTGGATGTCAGTTAGAAGAGAAAGAGGAATTCTGCAGTTAGTTTGATAAAGTGGTAGAGAGTGTTGATTGGAGCAGACTTCAGTAGCCATGTAGGTGAAGGAAAGAGAGATAATGAGGTGTTAGATAGGTATAGTGTTAAGCAGAGAAATGCACAAGGTCAAAATTAGGAAGATGGAAATGGCTGGGGTGAACTCATACTTCAAGAAGAAGGAGGAACAGAAGGTGACGTAGAAGAGTGGAAGAAAGTGTACACAGGTGGCTTACATCCTAAACAGAAGGGTCAGTCTGAAAGAGATAGGAGACTGCAAGGTGGTGTCAGGAGAGAATGTAGCCATGCAGCATTGGACACTAGTCTATAGGATGACTTTGGACGTCAAGAAGAGGAAGAGAATGAAGGCAGAGACAAGAACTAAATGGTGGAAGCTGAAGAAGGAAGAATGTTGTGCAGTTGTTAGTTCAGGGAGGAGTAGACATTCTCTGGGTGGAAGGGAAGTGTTACCAGATGACTGGAAAAATACAACTGAAATGGTGAGAGAAAGGCAAAGAAGGTGTTTGGTGTATCTTTTGGAGAGAGAAAAGAGGACAAGGAGACTTGGTGGTGGATTGGACACTTTCCTGTAGTTCCTCAAAGGAATAGCTAAGAGAAAGTGCGATAGTCAGGGGAGATGGATAAAAGTAGACAGGAATACTGGGAGGCCAGGCCAACTGCAAAGATAGAGGTGGCAAAGGAAAAAGCTTATACTGAGTTGTACGTGAGGCTGGGTACTAAGGAAGGAGAACAGTACTTGCATGAATTAGCTATACAGAGATTGAGCTGAAAAGGATGTGCAGCAGGTTAGAGTGATTAAGGATAAAGATGGTGAAGAGAGTGTGTTGAGAAGATGGAAGATAGAAGTATTCTCTCACTGTCTTCATTAATGAAGACATTAATAAAGACAGAAACTGAGGACAGATGGAGGAAAGTTAGTGAATCAGGAAGCGCAGGGGTAAGTAAGGAGGAAGTGAAGGCAGCTATGAAGAGAGGAAAGGCAGTTGGTCCACATGACATATCTGTGGTTGTATAGAGATGTTGAGGAGAGAGGACTTTTTTTTTTTTTTTTGCCTGTCCCGTTTGGCTCTTTTGCCATCAGAATTATTGTCTAAAGGCAAAGAAAGATGCCCAACGGATTTACTTTACCAAATTGACCATCCCAGCCTTGCCGTAATGGTCCATTTGATTCACCTTTTATTGTTTATTTTATTTTCACTTGTTGAATACGGGACAGACTTGACTGGGGGAAAGAAGGGGAGAAAGAAAGAGAAAGAGCTGAGAAGAGGGATAGGGGAGAAGGGCAAAAAAACAAAAACCAACAGAATGGGCAGAAAAAGAAAAAAAAATGCATCTATCGATCACCTGGATCACCTGTTGAGAAAGAAAAAAGAAAACAAGCAGAAGAGAACAAGAGTAATAGAATAAACAACATCACAATGATATATGGGAATATGACAGTAAATACTAAATATTAAACATTATTGTGCAGCACATAGGATCAACAGAACACAGTGTGCTTTGAGGTAGGAGCCAAAAAGGGTGTAGTTTGTGGGTGTGATCACCCGTGTGTACACCTGTGAGCATGGACGCGCTTCCATCCATCCATCTTCATCCGCTTTATCCGGAGCCGGGTCGCGGGGGCAGCAGCCTAAGCAAAGAGGCCCAGACCTCCCTCTCCCCAGCCACCTCCTCCAGCTTATCCGGGGGAACACCAAGGCGTTCCCAGGCCAGCCGAGAGATATAATCTCTCCAGCGTGTCCTGGGTCTGCCCCGGGGCCTCCTCCCGGTGGGACATGCCTGGAACACCTCACCCAGGAGGTGCCCAGGGGGCATCCTTGTCAGATGCCCGAACCACCTCAGCTGGCTCCTTTCGATGTGGAGCAGCAGCTGCTCTACTCTGAGCCCCTCCCGGATGGCCGAACTTCTCACCCTATCTCTAAGGGAGAGGCCAGCCACCCTTCGGAGGAAGCTCATTTCTGCCGCTTGTATCCGCGATCTCGTTCTTTCGGTCACTACCCACAGCTCGTGACCATAGGTGAGGGTAGGGACGTAGATCGACCGGTAAATGGACGCGCTTGTTTTTTTAAAAGGTTCCTTCATGTAATGATCTGCTAGAGGGTGTGGGGGGGCCACAGCCCCGTCCTCCAGGGCATGAAGCAGGTATGGAGGAGATCAAAACTCCAGACATCCAGAGGCCCCCAGAACACAAGAGACCAAGGAAGACCAACAGAGGGGCAGCCGCGCCACTGTCCCAGTAAGAGCTGAGGAGAGTCCCAGATGAGGGCTCACTCAGCAGCCGCGGAGCAGAAGCCAGGGGGAGTTGCAGTGACGCGCCCGTGAGCTCCGCCGGCAGCCAGCTGTGCCTGAGTGACCGAGCCCCAGGCTGAGAGGCCGGGGGCACCCCACCTCCGAAGTGGCCCGAGCGAGCCCCAGGATCCAGGCCCCGATAAGCGGCCGCCAAGGAGTGAGCCGGTGTGTACCTGGACGCCCATCCCCTCATCCTCTCATATGCACTTCACACTCAACCAACGTGGAGACAGACATAAAGAGACGCTGTACACACGATCACACTCCCCAAGCATACTCAACGAACCGGGTCTAGGTACCCTTGCCCCTGGAGGGGGGAACTGCACCCAGACCCAGGTGGTGTTACCCTTTTCCCTGCGGTGGGGAGAGGCAGACCGACTCCGCAGCAGCAGGGAGGCCCCACACTCCAGATGGCCAACTCCTCCTCCTAGCCCCCCCGCTCCAGCAGGCCGCAGATAACGGGGGTGAGAGAAGACTCCAAACCTCCTTCCACCCGCTTATTGTAGTGTTGATGCATGTGTGTTCTAAGGTGCATTTAAAACCCAGGAGGGCATGGAGCTACCTGCCAGAGAGCAGCAGGTAAGCGCATAGTCCCTCCTGCTAGCCCTCAATGTCTACGTGTATTTAAAATTGAGAGGTGGGCAACCACGCGAGGGGTGAGGTGTACACCCTGATGGTAATTTGGATTCCGTGTATCGTGCCCACTCCCAGAGAGGACTTTTTAACCAGATTGTTTAACACAAGTTTGGAGAGTGAGGAATGAATAAGTGTACTGATACCAGTTTTCAAGACCAAGGGTGATATGCAGAGCTGTAGTAACTACAGAGCGATAAAGCTGAGACACACCAAGAAAGAGTTGTTGAAGCTAGGTTAAGAAGAGAGGTGATGATCCATGAGCAGCAGCATGGCTTCTCACTGAAAAAGAGCAGTGCAGATGTGATGTTTGCTTTGAGTGTGTTGATGCAGAAGTATAGTGAAGGTCAGAAAGAGTTGCACTGTGTCTTTGTGGATCTGGCAAAAGAATATGATGGGATGCTAAGAGAGGAACTGTGGTACTGCATGAGGTAAGTCTGGATGTGAGGGTGGTGCAGGATGTGTTCAAGGTGAGGGTGGGATTACATCAGGGATCTGGAGTCAGGAGGAGGGACAGGAAACAGAAATGAGTATACAAGAAGGACAGCTCATGCTGAATGGTATGGAGAGAAAGTTAGAGACAAGGCTGAGATGATTCAGACATATGCAGAAGAGGGATAGAGGAAATACTGGACAAAGGAGGGAGAAAACAGCATGACCTCAGAGGTCAACACCAGAGCCTCTGGTGTTGTGACCCCTAAAGAGAGCATTTCTCTCTCATATATATATATATATATATATATATGTATATATATATGTATATGTGTGTGTGTGTGTAAATGAATGATGGATCAGGTGATCACATAACATGTAATGTGATCACCTGATCCACCATAGAGATCATAGAGGTCCTCTTTTGGATTGAGATCTGGTGACTGTAGAGGCCATTTGAGTACAGTGAACTGAACTGTTATGTTTAAGAGTGCAATTTGACATCATTTGAGCTTCTTGACACTGGTTATTATCCTCCTGGAAGCAGCCATAATGAGATGGGCACTTCTGATGGATGGGACATATTTAATTTTTATAAAGTATTACAGAACACATGAGTCAATATTATATTGCATTACAGATTATATATTAATGGTAGATTTTCACTAATAGAAGCTTACAGTAGAGGAACCAGGTTTTAATATAAAAGGGAACACAGCAATATATGTATCCTTTGTACGGAAGCCCATGCTTTAATATAATCTATCAAAATTCACCAGTATGATTTATAATAGTTTGAAAAATACTTGAAACAAAACTACAGTTTCTTGCACATTGTCTATATTTATGTTATGTAGACACAATTTGTAGCTCACTACTAAAGCAGGGTCAAGGTGGTTTTTCAGATTCAGTCTCCTATTTGTGGAGATATTTTGGTAAAATATGCTGGTAACACTA